CTCTCTCTCTCTCTCTCTCTCTCTCTCTCTCTCTCTCTATTCAGCCAAATTACATAAGTTATTGCTAACGCACACACTTTCAAATTGTTCGGCAGAGCAATTGTTTTTCTTTTATTTCATCATATTTCTTATATTCATTCGATAGTATTCATATTTGATATGCAGGTGAAATGAAATGCCAAATCGAATGAAATACATAGAAAATGCGACAAGAAGAGATTCATTGTTCACGATAAATATCATAAAGTGTTATTAATATAGTACAGGAAATGGTTACAGTGCTTGGAATGTAATTGAAAATTGTCAGAAGGGCGATATAAAATATGCTTTGGTATACGAATGCAATAAAACTTAAATTTACACTCAAGGATCTACTTAAAATACGAAAAATGTTTCAATTGAAACAATGATAAATTCAAGACAAAAATCCCATTTATTCGTTATCAAGTGGCAAGAAATCATCGTTTTGTATTCTACTCAAGATCATTCATGTGATGAACACGAATGATTTATCTCAAATCGTCAAAGACATTTAAAAAAAGTGCATATATTTTGATTTTCATCATTTGAAAGCAAGAAAAACAAAAACAAATGCCATTCGATACACGATCTTGTAAAGTAAAATAGCTTGCCCAAACTGAAGAATGTTTAATGTAATTAAAACTGATCGACACACCCAATTACTGTTTTCATCGCGATACAAACACAACACAGTCGAATGCAATACACAAAATTGGGGATAAAAAAACTATGTTTGCTGCCAAATGGAATACAAAAAGAGTAACGGAGACAAAGATATGAGCAAGAGACATAAAATTAATGACCTTTTTTCGCTGTAAAAAAAATGTTCAGCATGTATTTCATATGCATTTATATTCAAACTAGCTGTGTGTGCAATAAACGTATAAGCATGCATTTTTGATATCACACACATGCTATATATATTTTATGTGGCATAAATAATCAGACGAGAAAAAGAAGGAAAGAAAAAATTGTTTCCGACGAATGCGAACCGATGAAAACGAGCAAAACAACTCGAATCATATATCAAAACAAAAGAAACACGCTTGCATTGTCAAATAAATGTGATTGTGTTTCTTCTTTTATTCTAAATACAATACATAAACAAGCAAAGAACGGATCATCTACGATCGATATTGACTTGTGGCCGGTTGTTGTGTATTTTTCGCACTGAATATTTGTTTGATAATTTCATTTGAAGAAATAACAACCACAATAACAACGTATTAACATATATTGTTGTGGGTTTTATATTCTAATTCATTTATAGAATGGCTTCGTCTTGTACATAAACACACAATCGACCCCACGAATAAATTCGTAAATGTTTTAAAGCATGCATCTGTTTTGTAAGTGTATACATATGTGTGTCTGTGTGCATGTATATGGCAATACACTGTGTATAATCGACATTTACCGGTTCTCGGCAAAACACTCACAAATACACGAGCAACGCGTACGGGAAAAAGCATTTAAAAAAATATACACACACTGAATAACAATAACGAAAAAAATAAAACTCAAACAACGCCTGAAGTGCCACATTTAAAATGTGCCGCGAACATCGTTTGGTATTCCTTCTTTTATTTTATTTTTTTCGCTCTTTCACTGGCTCTCTTCTTATTTTTAATTATGCTCTTCAAACACCCATTTTTTACCTATGTATGTAATATGTGTACACACGGCGATTTAGCCGCATCAATTGCCCGCTTCACACAAGAGAACAAAAGTGTGTGGGGAATATGCACTTTAATTATCAAAGAAAATTTCAATGTTCAGTCATTGTTTGTAACTGAAAAAATTTCTCTCTATCGCTTGCAAAAGAAAGATTGTGTATGCTGAAAGCATATTATGCTTCATGCTTTGCAGTGCACATCATTCTTTTTTCGTTCGGTTTTGGTTTTAAATCAAGAACTTTATGTATTGAAAGCGTGGGCTGACACCTTGAATTGCCATTGGTAGATTCGCGAAGGGATCAATATGAAACAAATTCAAAGGAAGATAAAACAAAAATGGAATAAAATAATTTTTATAAAAAGACTCACCTTTTTTATTTTAAATTGGTTGATTCAGCAATAAATCATTAAATCACAGTAAAAGACAGATAGTATGGATGTTATAGACGAACAATGCGCACAAATAAGTTTTAAACACCAACACACTGATACAATAACAAACCGATAAATACTAAATTTTTTTTTGCTGCAATCTCGAAAATCCTGTTTATTTTTTATGGTCTTGTTCATGCGTTTTTATTCACCGTCGAATCGCAACTGTTGAGAAGAGAAAAAAGAAGAAGAGCGAAATGCAAACAAATTCTGAATTATTTGTCAAGTCCTTGTAGTTGTTGATATCGCGATTTTGTGCAATCAGACAAACTGAATGAGATGAGCAGGTTCGCCAATCGAAATTATTGGCTGGTTTATTTATTTATTTTTTTTAAAAAGAGGTAAACAAAATCGATGAATACTTGTAGCGATCAATAAAAAGGAAGAGCACGATATAAAAAAAATGAAACTTAACCAAATGAAATCATACAATTCATTTGACAGGGTTAATAAATAATGTAAGCAACAAATTTGCACTTTGTCTAATTGTAACAGAACACTCGTGTGTGTGCGCATGATCCAATTGTTGTCCATTGGAATCGCGGTGGTTGAATTATGTTGCTAAAGCAATGCTCATTGCAACAGATGACAAACCACCACAAAAATATACATGAAATAAATAGAGACGAGTCGATGTAAAGTCACCACCAATTGACTTTCGTTTTTCATTTTGCTATGATGCACACCGAAACAATTGTGTGTTCTTACTTTTCATTTGACGAAATTCGTCCCAAATAATGAAATATATATGGATATATGCGTTCTCCTCACATTACACATTCGATTCGAATTTCAATGTTACTTTTGGATGGATAAAACCCAAACCGAAAAACACTCATTGATTTTCCTTTTTTTTTCTACTTGCATGACTTCTTTTCATAATTTCTCTATACATTCTTCATGGAGTGATTTCGGTGCTCTTTTCTCTCGTTCTACCATTTGTGTGAAATGAATTTGAATATTCGATTATTGTTTATGTTGAAAGCGAGAAAAATGTATACAAAAAATATGCATCAAATTGTGTGTGCACTCTAACTTGATTGAATTAATAGCACGAATGGTGCGAGATTGATCGGATGGAGTATGTCGTAACAGCGAACGCTTGATTCGCACATTAAAAAAAATCTAAAAAAAAAACAACAACACGAAAAATGAATCCAAAAAAAATGTTACTAAATATTATAATATGTATCTAGTCGATACAGGCGCGCAATTGTTTCAAGTGAGCGCCACATGAGCGAACGGTTTTTGTGTAGTGGTAGTTGTAGTACAATTGAAAAGAAAAAGGCACACGCCCATGGAATTCAACCAAATCTAATTCGCGTTCTTGTTCAACGCGCGTGAATGTGTGTTGGTTCAGAGCTTCGAATGTGTTTGTACATTCTGGCATGCCGTATCTTGAGTAAAAAGAGAAGAAAAAAAAATTGTATGCAATGCAGAGAAAAGATCCTTCAAATTTTCCTTTAAATTTCTTTTGTATAAATATTTTTTTTAAGAATTATTATGAAGCTAGGAAATCCATCGAAATTCATAAAACTTTGAATGCAAATCGGTTGTGTAACATGAACCTTGTTTGTTTACTACAGACGTGAAGAAAAAAAAACAAGAACCCATTGAATTTAAACTTTAATGTACACGCATCTCAAATATGAACTATTTTCGTTGGTTACACTGTTCGTGCAGAGAAGTGTGCATTGAAAATCGGTTTTGTTTTGGGAAAATGTCAACTAGTCAAATGTTATTGAATAAAAGTCACGAATAATTTTGGAAATTTCAATTTTTCATATGAAGCGCCATTGAGAGTTGTAGTTACATGTATTTTCTTGGACTTCAAACAAACAATAGCCAGATTACACTGTACACAGTTGACAAGTTCATTCTTAAAATGTTAAATTGAACTCTCGGTTACATTGTTTAAAAAAGGCAAAAATGCGGATATGATCATTACCCGTTGCCATCACACTGTTTGGCATTCGTACTCCGTTTGGTCTTTGCATTCAAAAGTAAATAAAATATATATTAAACCGCTCTATCTATTTCATTACATTTTTCCCTCTGTCTGTCTTTCAATCGTTTCGCTTCTTTGACTATCTCGATTTTTGTTGTTGTTGTTTTTGTTGCTGTTTCATTTTATGCACGCATTAACATCTAACAAAAAAATCGAAAATGATACGTCTTTTTCTTCTGTTTTATTCTTTGCATTTACTTTTTCTTATAAAATTCTTTTTATGATTTTATTTTGGCACTTTTTTTCAATTCACTTTAAGACTTTTGATTTTTCCATTAAATTTGCCGTGTACAAATGGTATCTAGAACAGTTTCATTCACATTGAACACATTTTCGGTTGCGACCGTGATTACAAAAATTCAACAAAATATGGAAAATTGATTTGAATTTTCAATGTTCGTTCGTAATGCCGAAAGTATGTGTATGTGTGTGTATGTATATGGTAGTCGTAAGAGATAGATTTTTCTGTATACCAAAAAGTATGTGATGAACCGAAATATTTGACTTTTTTTCTTTGGTATTTTAAACCAATTTTCCTCACTCTCTGTTTCTCATTCAATTTAAACTGATTGATCAAAATACCACGATTAATTGATTCTGATTTTTTTTTTATCAATTACGTTTCTTTTTTTATCGGAACACTGAACAACTATTACTTTTTTTATTATTTCCCTTTTTGGAGTGTAACCTCTCCGTACATTCGATTTTATTTTTCTTCGTTTCAAATGGCCGACGACTGCTTACTCGGCGTCTCTTTTCTGTCTGAATATATTGTGTGTTTATGTGCACATGAACAGTGGTGAGCTAGAGCAACGGAGTAGTATATGGATTTTGTTTGACGGTTTTGTATCGGCGCAATACAACCAAACCAAATTGACCAAATACACGTACACAAAGAGTGCCTGAAGATGCGGCGCGCATTCTCCCATTTGAACATTTTATTTCCATTACCTCATTCGAGTGTTGTGTATTCTTTTTTTTTCCTTCACATTTGCATGTATTTGTATGAGAATCGCGAGTGTATATGTGCTCTTCGAATGAAACATACACAGTATCGGTGTTCTTTTAGCATTTAGTTCCGTCAGATTAGATCATAAATGTATTCTTAGCTGAGTGAATGCTGACTTCAAGTATACATGCATTGGATCGCATCACATAACAAACAATTCACTGATGAAAAGGCAACGCAAAAGATGGCGACAGTGGTACATAACATTTTCCATCTAATTTGATTTTTGAGCTCATGAAATAAATACTCATGCTTCTTTGAAGCAATTCCATTTTCAATAATAAATTCAACAATGAATTTGTATCATTTGTTGAAGCGATAAATCGATTTGCCAAAAAAAAAATCAAGATTTTAACGTATCATATCATTTTTCACTTTGGTCTCGATTTAAACGTATTCATTACGGGGCACTATCTTTTCATGTGAAAGTGTCACATTCAGTTGTTGTAATGAATTGTTTTGAGCAAAAATGGCGGTTCTCTCTTGAGATGTGTGCGTTCGTTTGTATAGGTATTTGAGCAAAACATAATGACATTTTGGTATCGGCCGACTAAGAATTTGGATCAATAGGGAGTGTGGTGCAGCGCGTGTGTGTGGCGCTTTATTTTTCGAAAAACAAAGCAGTAAATTATGAGTAAACTGCATTTCTAAATATTGTAAGTTATATTATACAAATTATTCATTCGTTTGAATAATGTTTAAAGTGCATTATTCCATAAAATTGTATTGAAAATTCGATTGTAAGTTTGAAGTGTTGAGACACAATGCGGCAACGATCAACAGCTGTGTCAAAACAGTAAGAATACCTCGTTTGTGTTTTCACTTGATTGGTGCACTTATGTTTTTACATTTCAAACAAGAATCAATTGTTGATCGGATCGGATCGAATATTTTTGCTATTTGCTTCATACCATGCATCGGCACATTTTAATTGTAATTAATTTGTTTGCAGACTTTTTTTTCATTTTCTCTTAGTTTTCCGGCCATTTTTGTCGTGCGTTTGAATAAACAAAACGAAAAAGTTTTTTTTTGTTCCGTTAAGAGATAAATAGTGTGTTGAATAGTAAATAAGGACGAATAATGGGTCGATCACCCTCACCTCGCCGCCGTGATAAAAATCGAGAACGTGAATTCCGGGCACGAAAACGGTCCAGAGATCGTGAAGTCCGCGGTGAACGTGATGAACGAGACAGAGCTGATAGATCACATCGATCAAGAAGTCGTGGGCGCGACAGAAGCAGGAGCCGAGAACGAAATGAACGAGACAAAGATCGAACCGTGCCGTACGTTCCTTGGGCATTTATAACAGATTTTTTTTTTTTTGAATGTGATACTAATTATGTGGTGTATCTTTTTTTTGGTATGTGTATTTAGGTCACGGTCATATGAAAGAGATAGAACTAAAACGTCCAGATCGAGACGCGGACATGGTGGTGGCAGTAGCAGTGGTGCTAGTAGCTCAAATGCAACTGTGGGCGATCGACCCATTGTTACGGATGCTGATCTCGAGGGTAACTAGTTGGTTTTTATATAGGCACAATTGAACAAATTAAAACGAAAACAAATAAGGTTAATGAACAATGAAATATTGATAGGAAAATCTGCGGAGGAACAAGAAATGATGAAAGCGATGGGCTTCTGCGGATTTGATTCAACAAAAGGGAAAAAAGTCGATGGAAATGATGCTGGAGAAGTGCACGTAATTCTAAAACGCAAGTATCGACAATACATGAATCGCAAAGGTGGTTTCAATCGGCCACTTGACTTCGTTGCATAGTTTTATAATTGCTGCCAAATTCAATGATTTATTCGATTCAAATTATGTTGGTGTATTTTGCTCATAAAATAAGTTTGTTTGCAAGACACACAAACACACGTTCAAAAGGAAATCAATTGGAAGAAGAATGGCATCAAAAATCAGCAATCGATTGGATTGAAAAGATAAGAATTTTTTTTTAAACGCAGCCTTATCATAACTCAGATTTCATAAGCCAGTTGACAACATTTTGTTTATGTTCATCTTATTTCATTTTATTATACATACATTCATTAATTTCATCCGTTACAGCCGTAGAAATAGTTCCATAATACCTATAAACCTTGCCTTGTTATCGCATAACAATCATAAAGAAGATATGGTATTGTTCGTCGATTTTTATGAATGTGATGCCATTTGGCATTTCATTCGAATGTTTAGCGAATTTCCTGTAAAGGGAACATTCTCAATTTATAGTGCTTTTCATTCAAATGAGCTGACCATCTAAATGGTTTGACGTTCAACGGGTATATATTTATATATAATATTTACACTGTTTTTTTTTATTTCGGGTATACACAACAAACAATCATATTCATAGAAAGAAAAGAGACTGACGAAAGTACTGAATGACACATTTTATTAACAGTCTTTGTCTATCTCTGCATCAGGTTTTCCATATTTTTTTATAAACAATTGAATGAACCATATTAAAATTATTTACACACAACAATAGAACGGGTTTACACAGAAATACACACACACATACTTAACTAAGCTGATTTTATGATAGACTTTAGATTGGAGCTATCGGTAATGCTATTCGACCAGATTGCATCTTAATTCGTTTGGATATAATCAAAATGCGATTGTTGTACAAACACGTAGAAAGAATTGTTATATTCACTTTGAATTGGACATTTCCGCTTGGAAACAAAGCAACAAATGAAATAATAGTTGATTCATATCCATTGCATCATTTGAATGAATGACCAAAGAAATGATCCCTTTTTCTTCTTTTTTTTGTTCTGAAATCATTTTCTTTCGGCAATTTTTTTTTCTCATCAAAAATAATTCAACCAATCATAAGAATCTTCATGAAATCAGCTGAAAATTGCAATAGCCAGGTTTTACACATACATTTTTTACAATAGTCAAACACAGTTAAATAATTATATTCAAATATTACCGGTACAAGAACATACACAGCAACAACAACCACAAAATACAATAGATTTTAAGTGTTTAAATGAAATAAAACAAATGAAAAACTAACTTATAAGTCTTATATCGAATAAAATCCGTTATAAATATTATGAAGCCGTACCTACTGAAACAGAAAAATGCGCCCCATATTTACACCATACAGAAATAGACACAAAAATGAAATGAATTATTTTCAATAGCCACACACACACACATGCCCATTCACACACACACACACACACACACACACACACACACACACACACACACAAAAATGAACATGCAATAGCCAGGGATTTGTTATTTATAAGTACAATTTATAAGTTAAAATAACAGTTAAAATGGGAATCAAGAAATTATAAACAATAGTACCTCATTGTTGGTGTCATATGAATATTTTTTTTTATCGATTCTCAATTCTTCTGTAGTCCATTTCTGTCCATTACCATGATCTTTGTTTCATTTTTCCGTTTTTCTACACACTTTTGAAAGTTAAAAGTCATAATAAAATAGTCGTTAATCGTTTCATAAATTCTGATCATAATTTGTTGTGATTTTATTGCGATCATAAATATATAAAATAGTGCGAAATTCCGTTTAGAATTTTTTTTTAACAAAAATGACAATTACTTATTGAATATTTGGACATTTGTTCAGCAACTTTTGATAATATATCATCCTAAGAACCAAAAACAAAAACGACCGAACTGAGTTCATTGTGACGTCATACTGTTTAATACATGTATTGGCAATAAAGAATTCGATGTGCTCTCTTTGGTCGTTTTTTCATTTCATAATTATTTAAAAAAACAACACTTTTTAACAAATTTAAACTATTTAAATTAATATTTATGTATAAATTTGGATATTTAATGTTTTTAAGCTTATGAAATAAAAAAAATTTGAACTACAATCATTTGGTTTTTGTTTTATTTACATAATTTTGTAATATTTTTTTTATCACACCAAAATTTAGTACAAAAATTGGTGATCATTCTTTTTAAAGTCTTAAGATGCCAAACAGCACAACGAACTTACAGAAAAAATGTTTTTTAAAAAATGTCTTATTTTGAAGTGAATTTTTCTAGCAATTTTTATTCAGCGTAATTGCATTGAAGCTTAAAACAACAAAAATCACTAATCACACACATCGTCAATTGCTTCGATTGAACTCTGAGGTATATTAATATAATTGGAACATTATACACATCTCACCATCAGCATATAGGTATTTCTGAATATATAATATTTATTCGAGCCCATCAAATGATTAAAATCTGGTACTTCACGCATAGGGCAATGACTTTTGTAGTTTTCATTTTTCATGTATGTCTTGAATAATGAAGTTCAGTTCATGCAAAAATGTAACTTTCGTTTTTTTCATCAAATTCTGTAGAATTCCGTTTTAGCGAAACTTCATTACAATGAAGTAAAGCTTGAACAAAAAAAATGTGTGATCTAATTTTTCGTCCAACGAACACATATGGCATAATCACCTAAGTTAAAGTTCACTTCACAATCGATAAATACCAAAGCAGACCATAATCGATGGACCTCCAACGATTGTTCAAAAATAAAACGTCAATAGTTTTTGACCAGACACTGATTAAATAAATAATAACCCATGACATTTCATCGAAAATCTTCATCCAAATGCATTTGCGAACAGATAATTATGTTTTAATATAAAATTTTCAATTTGATTTTTGTAATCTCTTTTATGTGTACATTCGAAGCTTTTGAATGTGTAGCGATTATTGTTGAGAGTAGAATGATGATTGTTATACCCTTGTCACAAGTTATACAACGACAACAACATATTAAATCAAAGGCTTATCTGTATGCGCTTAATTAATGATGTGAAAATATTTTCAAATCTATGACTTTTTATTGCAAATGCCATGAATTGAATGCACCAAAAAGTGTCGACCATTCACAACAACGACATTTTGGACAGCTTAATCTTTATTAAGAATAGATGCACATATGAAAAAAAGTACGTTTTAAGATACAAAAAGGTTGGCATATTGAAACCGGCATCATCTAATGCTAATTGGGGCTTAAAACCATTTTACCACGATTTAAGACCATAATCAGTTGCCAAAAAAAAACGAATTTCATATTTCTTTTGCTTTTGCTTCGGATGAATCATCTAGTGATCTAGTTCTAGTAATGCACTTGCGACTCGCCGCTTGAAATTGAGTATAAATATTCGTTATTGATTTCAGTTCAGCATCAGTTACAACTTATTCGATCAATCGTATACGACGTCGTGTAGTAGTAAAATTTATCTCAAAATCATCAACAAAATGAAATTCTTGGTAAAAACTCGTGGATTTGTTTTGATTTTGAGTTTTTTTGCTCGTGGATTTGTTTTGATTTTGAGTGTATTTTTGAATAAAACAAGAACATATTTTCGATGGTAATAATTTTTTTATTTAATATTTCTGATGGATATCAGGTTGTTTTTTTGGTCATCGTAAGCTGTGCATTTGGTGCATTGCTGCCAACCATCTCCCATTCCCATCAAGTGCATCAACCAGTTTCGCATCATGTTCCTGTTTCACACAGCGCACCAAAAGCCTACGCCGCCCCAGCTGCCTCCGCATATAGTTCCTCACCTGCATACTATACTCCTGCTTCTCATCATGTAAGCGGCGAGGCTGCAGCACCAATTCTCCGCTCATCTTCCGACATTCGTCCCGATGGCCAGTATTCTTATGAATACGAAACTGGCAACGGAATCTCTGTTCAAGAAGGTGGTCATGCCTCAAAAGCTGTCCATGGTTCATTTTCATATACTTCACCTGACGGAACTCCAATACATTTGACTTATGTGGCCGATGAACATGGTAAATGAGTAAATATTATCAGTAACGTAACTTATCGTTGTACTATAACTGTTTTGTTCATTTAAGGTTTCCGTCCTGAAGGGGCCCACCTCCCAGTTGCCCCAGAAACCCCTCCAGCAATATTACGGAGTCTTGAATACATCGCTGCTCATCCATACAAAGAAGAAGCCAACTATCATAACACCGGTTACTATGCTCCAGCCGCTCCACAAACGAATTACGCACCGGTTGCCAAATCCATTCCAGTCACACAAAAACCATCTTACTATAACTTCCATGGTCAATACTAAGTTTGAATTTTTTAATACTGCTGTTTGGAAACTAAATTGAATAAAATAATGCATATACTCAATCAAAATTTAAATACTTTTTCAATTAATAGATTTTCAATTGAAACTAAATTGAATTTAAAAAGTTGTTTGTCGTATTTTTCTACTTTTTTAATTAAAATTTACTCAAAATAGATAGATTTAAATAAAATGAATTGAATGTCAATGCATATTCGAAGTTTTAAAAAAACGTATGTGAATGTTTTTGAATCGCAAATAACTGACGGAAAATCTGACAGATGTCGTTCAAATCGCGTTTCTTCTCCCCGAGCCTTTGGAGCTGTCAAGTAACATAACCAAAGTTCAAAACATTTGCAAAGACTTTCGATGAATTAAAAAATTGTTTTGTTTTTTCATCTGAAAGAAAAAGTAACACTTAGAAAGCATTTTTTTTTTTCAAATTGGTGTGAACAAAACGAGAAGAATGTCAACTCGATGGTACCCAATTTATAAACGTGGCAATCCACAATTACGTGTATTTATGCCGAATTTCTGGATGAAAATGGTGCGAAACGATCAGAAACCAACACCGCCTGCAAATGTGGTCACATTTCATTGTTCCATGGAGATGACAAAACACGACATTAAAAATTATTTGACCAAAATTTATAATGTTCCCGTAGTAGATGTACGAACAGAAGTGAGACTTGGTGAATTCTTCCGTGATCCAATAAACAAGTATGTCAAAAAGAAAGATGACTACAGAGTGGCCATTGTAACTATGGTATGTATTTGAAATTGTCCTTATGTGTTTTTATTCATACTAGTCTCGACTTATTTATTTTCTATTTACAGCCCGCCGAACAGACATTTGAATTTCCAACAATACACGACGAAGAGAAAACCGAAGAAGAAATGAACAAAGCAAAGAAATCGATCAGAGAGCAGGCCGATCTATTGAAAAAATTTATCAAACGCAATGAAAATAGTCGAAATTCACCGCCATTCTTCTCAATATAAAAAATGTGAACGAAAAATGCATTTTATGTAAAATACAATCACGAAAGAATAGTTTTTATTTAGAACAGAATAAAGCAGTTAAAATTTAAAGCCCTATACGAAATTGATTTATTACTGTTTTGTGGAGGTATTCATTGTATCATCTAATTTAATTGAGACAATTGAGGTATAACCATCGAAATTTTGGTTTTCATTCGATTTATATGCATAAATCTGTTCGATGGCTGTTTTACGGTCTAATGCATGCCGTTTCATATAAATGGCCAGAGCCCATTCAGGAACAATCAGTTCAAGGAACAATGCATCATACTGGAATGGAATTGAAAAAGAAAAAAGAAACAATTAAGACCTAGAGAGGCAAACTAATCCTAAATTGACCAAAAACCTTTCTTTACTTACACAAATCTCGCCAAATTCACCGATTTTCACGAATTTATCGAATAAAATGTCCAACATGGTTGAAAATTGATCAGTTGTAAACAACGAAATCATATCGAAATGATTGTAATCGCCGAATTGGCGTACCTTGGCATCAGTTTGTTTCAAGTAGTCGTGAAATAGATCTGATATCATTTTGTTGTGGTCATCGAATGATTTAAATAATTCAGAGTCGCTGATTGATTTTAGGTCGCTGAATGAAAATCAGATGCGGAATTATTTTATTTGTTGTTTATTAATAATAAGCAATTGTTGGGTCAAACATTGAATATCACTTACCTTTTTCCTATTTGGTCAATTCCATTCGAAATGGGCGTCAGATTCTTCTTATCCTTTTTGTTTTCGGACGGTTTCTTAATCTTCTTCTTCGGTTCAACTACTGTCTCGAATAATTCCGATTCGTTGGTAATTGATGGTGGTTTTGGTTTCAAGCGTTTTACTTTATCGGTCTTTGTTTTGGTCGTTTTTTTTATCATACTTTTTTGCGTTGACCTTTTGGATGTGTCCAATCGCTTTAAATTTTCGGGTGCCTTGAGAAGCCGTAATCTTGGAAAAAATTGTCCGCTAGATTTGCCATTAACGCGTGGCGTTGTTGTTAATCGGTTGTTTGTAAAACGCTTCACCGTTTTATGTCTTGATTTATCAAACGTTCCACGAACATCACTTGCGATACGTTTGAGTTGCTTATTCAAATTAGCCACCAATGGCGTACTGCTGCTGGAAGCCATGAAATTATTTTGGTGTGAAAATTTATCCGGTGAATTTTCAACGGAATGTATTTTTGTCTTTTCGATTATTTCGCTGAATTTTCGCTTTTTTTGTACCATATTCTTTTGGATTACTTCACCATTCTCGTCAAACTGCAGCAACGGCAGTCTTACACAACAATCTCTTAATCGAATTCCATTTTTGAAGTCAACTTTTGTGACGGCCGATGTTATTGCTTCTGTTGATTTGTCAATGTTTTCTTTTGGCGTCTTTTTGGACTCGATCAACGTCTTTTTTCTAACTGGTGTTACGACAGTCTTATTGGTGTTGTCATTGATTTCAGCACTGATTTTGGGGCTAGCGATGTTGGTTGCAGCGGTGGGACTGTTAATGTTAGTTACAACAATGGCCGGCTTAAATTTATCCACATTTGAACGCTGGAAAACTTTAACATCGATCACGAACGGAAAAACTGAATTGAAATCAATTGAATGCAACAATTTCGAATAGAATGCTACGTCCATATCCGTCCATGTAATTTGCAGTTGAAAATTTGTGCTGTCAATTTGTCGTTCAATAGCTGTCGGTTTTCGAAGTGGATTCTGGATATAATATTCAACTGGTTCGTGCAAGGCATTTAATATTTGATGCCAATCGTTTAATGACATGAATTTATTCAACGAACAATTGCCGGCATATTTTCCAATTGCACTGTCATCATTACACTCAAATTCAAAGTGATAGACCAAATAATTATCGGAATGCTAATGAAAATCAATGCGGAAAATTAAGAATATGAATTTTATGGTCCGAATAAATAAATTGTGAAACAAACCTTTGTATATTCGATAATGTGCGTCATTTTTGTTTTGTGTTCAATTTATCGGTATCAATCACAATTGCGTAGCACCTAAACCGAGAAACGAATGACAGACACAAACTGCATTACAGTGCTAATACACTACTATAACTGTCACAAGTGTGAATATTGTTTATATTTAAAATTCCAGAGCATGCAAGTGTCACATTACCACCAAACGACTGATTCAGCAATCTGTTTTGAAAGAATCAGTGCATTGAGATGTATACAGGATCGTATTTGAAATCGTTTGACTTATACATTTAAAATATTTTTTTATTATTAAGTGGAAGAAAAATCACATGAAACATATATTTATATAATTTTATTATTTTCAATTTTATTTTTAATTTTTTAGTATTTTTTTTACTATTTGCTAACAAAATACAGAGACATAGATAGATTCAAAAATTCAGCAGAAAACTCATTTTCTCTAATTGGATATTTTTATGAAATATGAAAGTAACCTCCAAAACTGGTCGATTCTATTGTCAAATTAAAAATGGCGCGAAAATTTCAAAAGTCAATGTCACAAAAAGAAAGAAAATTTCGAAATCGTAATTGTTGTAACATTACATGAAGTCCTTTCAAATTGAAATTGATTAATATTTTATAGGATTGTGAATAAAATTTAATTGAGCTACTTTTTTCATTGAAAATAAGATCATCAAAATGAAGCGGCACCGATATTTCTATTGTGGCACCCATTTTCCCAATTTTCGGATCTTTCCCATTGTATGCAAATGTCTAGAAATGGTTGATCGGCCGACATTTAACGCCATTGCAAGTTCTTCTTGAGTTTGACATGGATCTTCATCCAATAATGCTTCCAATTTGGCAGGTTCAATTTTTTTTGGCTGGCCAAGGCGTTCTTTGTCTTCTGTCTCAAAATCTCCACTTTTAAAGCGTCGAAACCAATACTCACAGGTTGAAATCGATGGAGTATGCTTGGAACCATAAGTTTCCGACAATAATCGATGGCTCTCAGCGGCGCTTTTCTTCGAATTAAAGAAGAATAGTAAAACTTCCCGCAAATGCTGTTTTTTTGGCACGTATACTGACATGATTGTAAGCGAAGAAAATTGTGTTGTTTACACTTTAACAAAATAACACATCCTGAAAAGTAATATCAAATGATGAGGCTTTCACGTGAATATAGTTACCGTATGGTCCGATGCGATATAGTACAAGTAACGCAATCTTTTATCAATCCTTTAAAATTAATGCACACACCCAATAAATAAAAACAGAAAACTGCTTTTTCTAGAAGAGTTTCGATTTTATTTTCCGGAATGTTCTCGAGCATAAAAGTGTGAGATTGTATAGAATCCACGGGAACCCTTAAAAAAGTATGATGCGAAGCCTTGTATTCGAATTCGAAATACGCCGAACACAATTGGCATTACATGGAATGAACGAAATTGTTTAAGTATGTGTTTTGCGTCAGTTGGCAACCTATTACTGTCAAAATCCAGTTGTAAATTTGGTTCACATACACGGGCGAAATACCGCATTGATTGGAATTATAGAGGTTGTATCTGTGTTGGTGCATGATATTTGCGTTTTCTTAACGAACAAACAGCTAAAAAGTAGACGCACACACGCGCCAATCGACAAAACACACAAACACACACATGAAACGATTCGTCGTATACGCGTACGAATATATATTCGGTATTCTAGAAAATTCCCTACATGGGTACCTATTTTCAATGTTCAACTCTACAATATTCACACAGTCATAATTTGAAGTGAAGAACACGCGTCTAAAAGGTGTTTTAATTCTCTGCGAGAAAGAAATACGAACGAAAGTATTACACAAAAATTAATAAATTTTACTTTAATTTCGTTTTGGTTTTTTTTTATCGAAAAAAGAAACAATTCAAGAAATATAAAGCAAATCATTTTAATCGCAATCATCAACGAGGTAAAAGAAAATTCGCATTTTTTATGCCATCAAATTTGTGTGAAAAGAAATATATTGTTGAAATAAGTGCGTTTGAGGCAAACCGCATTGGTGTGATGGAAAGTGTGAAGTAGTAACAAGAGCAAACAAATGACAAGAGATATAAAATAAAGTTTGTGCTGATGCTATTGGAATCAATTTTTTTTTAATTTTTTCGTTTGATGCGATCAAAACAATCAATAAAATCCAATGACATTGAGTACTTAATATTTCCAATTATATTTTCCAATTAAAGTTTTTTTTTAATTTACTGCGTCAAGCCTATTTTGAATTGAATTTATTTGCGAGTACATTTGCTGCTCCAAGAGTTCGATTTTTTTTTCGCTTCGAAAGTCAAAAGTGTGGATCTCTGATGTTTCATTCATCAGATCAATAAAAGCATCCGTTTTATTGGCTCTTGCACCGCATTTATTGTAGCATATAAAAATGATATGCTGATGAGAATAAGAGATTAGATTCGATGTTTTATTTTATATTTGCAAAAGAAAAAGCAGTGCCGCTGTCATTTGACATTTGTTTCATGAAACATTAACTTAAAATCGTGTGTTTCTTTTTTTTTCGCATTTTACAGGAACGAAGACGAGAGTTTTAGAGAGTGTTTTTTTTATATTGAATAAAACCGGAATCAACGAGTCGATATGTCTGTAATTGGAATAGATTTTGGTAATGAATCATGTTTCATTGCAGCTGCTGTTTCGGGTGGCATCGAAACACTTGCAAATGATTACAGTTTGCGTGCAACACCGTAAGTATTAAACCTTCCTTTGTCCTACATCAAATTATCACCAAATTCTATGTTTTCTTCAAAACTAAAAACGCAAAATAAAAAGTGCTGAGATGTTGTTATTATGTGCCTGTGTGTTATTGTCATGAAACATGCATAATACCGTTTTAACAAAGCCATATCGTTCGACGTGTGTCAAAATAAACATCAAGTTTTTCGAAACAGAGAAAATCAGATCCATGCGTTTTTCTCACTGAGTAAATAAAACGCATTGGTTTTTTATTGTGTTCATTGCATGGTTGTTGTCATTGTTTCAATCGATCATAATCACAGGAAACTATTACAGCAACAAACAAAAAATTTCCATGCGACAAATTAAAATAACCTCAAAATCAACCAAGTGCTCAAGTGTGAATGAATAAATATGAGAAAACAACGTTTTCGAGTGTATGTCAATTGATGTGTATACGTATGAACTATTGGGCAAATATTTTATTATGAATCACGATAGCATATCTTTTTATCAAAATTAATGTACATTTTTTCCGTAGCTTAATCATTTTGAAGCCGGTTTTAATTTATTGAAAAAATTTCCAATGAAAATAAATATCAAAAGGCATTCGATTCGTTGCTAGTACATATGTATGTAAGTGTGTGTGTGTGTGTGTGTGTGTGTGTGTGTGTGACAGGGATGGCTGGTAGTTTGATTATCTTACGCATAACGTAACGAAAGAGACGACCACACGAAATAAGCTTATTATTACCATTACATCTAGCATTGAAAAATTCGCCGTCACATATGAAAAGAGATATCTTTATTCAAATGTTTTTTTCCTATTCATTCTTTCTTTCTTTCTTCTTGCTCTCTCTCTCTCCCTCTCTTACTTCCCTTCGTATTGGTTTTTACCACAGTTTATCAAACATTGAATGATGTTTGGTTTTCCCTTTCGAGAATTTTCCGACTCGATTCAATTTTAATTGCTACAAACAAAACATTGAATGATACATACGATTATGTTGCCATGTTTACACGAATCGATTTGAGATATATGCAATGCGTTCAAAGTTTTACATTTTTACTTCTGTTTTAAAGGTGGTTTTATTGGTTGCATATGATTTCTTTTCGAATCATACAAAATGTCAATTCGAAGGATGCATACTTGATTCGTGGTGAGCCTATTTTGGTGTATGCACTTTGAACGACCGGCGCACATCGTATGCATGCATACGCATTGGGACACAATAAAATGTGGCTATATGATTTTCAGTACAAATGAAAAATGGCCCTGAATGGATCTGAACTGGAGTTGTGTGTTTTTTTTGTTCTCCATTCTACATTCTCATTTGTCCTCTTGACACTTTTACATGAAATAAAATAACCTTCCTATTTTCCTTGTTACAACAAGACGCAGAACTTCATTTACGTCGAATGGGGAATTATTATGAACGAATTATAAAATTGACAAAGAATGCCACAAAATAGATGATGTGGTGATGCACAGACTAGAGTCCGAATCTCAACGGCGGCCCACATTCTCCTTTTTATTTCTCGTTCGCACAACAAAAAATGACGACACAATTTTGTCTCATCGCGTTCGCTTATTCATTGAATAATAACAGCCGTGATATGAACGTTGAACCGTTAAAATTGCGTTAAAAGGAATTCATCGAACCAGAGCATAAGCGCGATTCGCACTATATATATATATATTTTTGATTCTCTGGCGTATATCGATACAGACACACACACACACGCATACAAACAAAAATTGAGAATGATTCGTCATGTATTGAAACTTAAGCTTTCGAGCTGATTTCAATCGATGTTCAATGTGCCATTTGGCTGCTGCAGAATTGAATCGAATCTAGAATCGAATAAATGAAAGTAGGCGTATGACGCTCAGCTCATGCTATTGCTCATCATATTCAAAATATACATTTTCTCATAAATCACAGACACACGGCCGAATAATATTCGAAACAAATATCGCAAAGCTCGTTTCTTGCTTTTGCAGATTGCGTTTGATTTTTGAAGATAATTCGTATCGAGATCCACGTACTGAGTCCAACTTCATTAAAAACATCATTTTTAATAAATTGCGTAGTAATTGTCCGTTGCCTTTGTTTGCCTCAATTGATTATTAATGCTACAACAAGCAATTATATTCCAAATTCGATAGAAAAAAGAAATAATGTTACCAAATATATGGCATTATTTTCAAAACAAACAAGAACAGAACAAAAAATTGGTTATTATTCTTTGTTTGAACGACAACGAATACACAAAAAAAAACGATCTATCTCTTCATTAGGAAGTTTCTAATGCATAAATTAAAAGTTCCAATATGGCATTTTTATTTGGTGTTTTTGTGTATATTTTCGACTTATTTTCTGTTGTTTGCACATCGAGGGCACATTATAAATATTAAATTATAATTCAATGACTATATTCCAGAAATAAATGCATTCAGAATTAATTATATTAATCAAATGCGTTTGTCGTCTCGAGAATCACACACGCACATCACACTGCACATTTAATTCATGACGCGAGCGCAAAATCTTTAACCGACGACAATGAAAAATGATAATGTAATTTTGGTCAAATTATGTTTGCTCTTTTTTTGCGTCGTTCGAGATATACTTGTCATAAATTTTGCCTGCAATATCATTGAAAATGTATATGATTCGATGTGTTGTTATCCATTTGTCTTTGTCATGAATGGCTCGACTAATTATAATGATTTTATTATGTTTTTAATGTGTTTTTCACTTTATTTATTTATTTATTTTCAGAGCATGCGTTGCGTTTGCTGGCAAAAAGCGTGTGTTGGGTGTTGCAGCCAAAAATCAACAAGTGACAAATATGAAAAATACGGTTAGCAATTTCAAGCGTTTGTTGGGCCGTAAATTTAACGATCCAGCCATTCAAGATGAATTGAAAGCATTACCGTATCGCGTTGAAGCGTTGCCGAATGGCGGCATTGGTATTCGTGTTAGTTACATGGAACAAGAGCATGTATTTACGCCGGAACAAGTGACAGCAATGTTGTTTACAAAGCTAAAGGAAACCTGCGAAACAGCCTTGAAAAAACCAATGAAAGATTGTGTCATTACGGTTCCATCATTTTTCACTAGCGCTGAACGTTCAGCACTCATCGATGCCGCTCAAATTGCCGGCCTAAACATTTTACATTTATTGAATGAAACAACTGCCGTTGCACTGCTCTATGGATTTTACAAAACCGATTTACCACCACCGGAAGAGAAACCAACGAACGTTGTATTTGTTGATTTTGGTCAATCTCAATTGCAGGTTGCAATTTGTGCATACAATCGCGGTAAATTGCGAATGGTGAGCAGCGCTTGGGATCAAATTGGTGGACGAAATATTGATGCTATTATGGCTGAAGTGTTTGCCGAACAATTTATTAAGAAGTATCGTGTAAATGCCCATCAAAATCCACGTGCATACCTTCGACTAATGTCCGAAGTTGAAAAATTGAAGAAACAAATGTCGGCCAATAGCACAAAATTACCATTGAACATTGATTGTTTCATCGATGAGATTGATGTCACTTCAAACATGTCACGTACCGAAATGGAAGAACTTTGTGCTGACATTTTCAAACGGGTAGAACTCACATGCCGAAAATGTCTACAAGATTCAGGTCAGTTCAAATACATTCGTTAATTATCATATCATATTCTGCGGAATTTCGCTTAAAATTACCGAAAAATACCTCGAATTGGAAATTAAGTAAAAGTTACTAACGAAATTGGTTCAATTTTACTATTTCAGGTTTATCGGCCGATGACATAGCCGCGGTTGAGGTTGTTGGAGGCAGCACAAGAATTCCAGCGGTTAAGGCAATCATTGAACAAGTGTTTGCAAAACCAATAAACACAACACTGAATCAAGATGAAGCTGTATCACGTGGTGCTGCTTTGCAATGCGCCATCCTATCGCCAGCCGTTCGTGTGCACGATTTTGGTATTACAGATATTCAAAACTTTGCCGTTCGAATTGCATGGGATTTGGAGTCAAACAATCGTAGCGAAATGGAAGTTTTCAAATCACATCATGAGTTCCCATTCAGTCGAATGATTACATTACAACGTCGGGAACCACTTAGTCTTCAACTGTTCTATGCTGATCCAGATTTGCGTTCCGACTCATTTATTGGTAAGTTTAAAAACGCAGACGTCAATCACCACACAATTTGCTTTTTTATTGTCATATTTTCAATTTTATCGCAGTGTTTAATATGTTTTATTAATGACAATATCGCGAATGTTTTGAATCCAAACAGGTCGTTGGTATGTGAAAAATATTAAACCAACTGCAACTGGCGAAGCGCAAGAAGTGAAAATTAAAGTGCGCATTAATTCGAATGGCGTCATTCAGCTGACCAGCGCAAATATAGTGGACAAAAAACCGAAAGAAGAAGCTCCGAATGACAATGGAAACACCGACACCAATAACATGGAAGTCGCACAAGAGGTAAGAAAGACATTGATTCTTTGTTGTGCTGTTGAGTTGCTGTTCGGTTTTATTTTTCTTTTTCCACTTGATCGGACTTATTTAATTTATAGATACCCGAATTTACCTCTAAGGAACCTAATTCATTTAGAGTAGTTTGTATTGTTTATGGTTATTTTTTCTATTGTCATTTGAATATGCACCCAAACGACTGAACGTGCAAAAACTATTCAAAACTAATTTCTATCTTATTTTCTTCTTTGTATTAAAGAATTTGTTTTCAGGTTATTTCATTTATTATTAAGTACATTAGATAGTTCCCCACACGTACATGGGGGACCTTTGTTTGATGCTCATGTTTCAGTTTGTTTGTTTGTTTTTATTCATTTATTTCGTACCAAGATTTCAGCTGAAAATTGGGGATTAGGAAGAAAATTTTGCCTCGAAATGCATTGATTGAATTTGAAGTGTGAAAAAAATTAACGTTGTTGGGAAAATTTTGCTGTCAGAGATGTGGTTGATTGATAATTTTTGTTCATGTTTGTTACGTTTTCTTCTCCAATAATATCTGTAAACACCAAACTAATGAAACCAATCGAAAATTTACCTTGGTTCGATAAAAACATTTCATCCAATTTCTATTCATCATTTGTGTGTTTCCTTCACAAAATCCTAATTGTGTATAAATACTTGAAATTGCCACATAAATATGGCACTAACCATTTCCGAGTCTACCGCGGGCCACAACCAAGACCAATTAAAATGAAAAAGAAATACAAAAAAAAAACAATAATCTAAAAAAAATCGTACAAACAATATTTTTGTTTAGCCATAGCTCAGCTCCTTTCTCTATTTGTTACTTCTTCTTCTTCAATTTTTAGGGTGACTCGAATGACGATGCCAATGAATTACCACACCCTAACAATATACCACAATCACCCACATCTCAAGGTCAAGGTTGGACGCAACGGGTTAAAGGATGGTTTTCTTCGGTATGTTTGATTTTCTTGTGTACCAATCCGAAAGAAAAAGTGAGAGAGTGTGAGAGAAAGAGATAGAAAAAAGTCAAATACACAGATTGTGGCCGGCACACAGCTTCCGAATTTCTTATCCCCACACATCCACACCACCCATCTTTTCAATCTCGATTGACCAATTCGATTTTCGGCAAGATTCTCACACACAAATCTTCTCACGGATCAATGCATTTGGATGGCAATTTTGAATTTTTCTTTTGTACCATGATATTTGTTGGAGAGTGATTTCGACGTTCATATTTGGGTTGCATATTTTTTTGTTTTGGTTTGAGCAGCAAATTTTCTCTTGTTAAGTGGTTTTTTGTTTTGTTTTGGTTTCTGGCGTTTTATTTCTATTCGCTTCAAAGTAAATAGATTTTGGAAAATTAAAATTAATCAAGGAACGGAAATAATAATGAATGTATTATGAATGTTTCGTTGCAGGGTGACGATGGCAAAAAGGGTAAAAAGAAAAAATCGGCTGATTTGGTTGAACTTCCATTCGATAGCCAGTTGCCTGGCAACACCGAAGTTGATCTACAAAAATTCAAAGATGAAGAGGTGAGTTTAAAACAAATCGTCATTTTTTTCGTATGTCATGTTGGTAAAACTATAAATGCAATTAAAATCTCGTTTACTAATATTTCGTTTTCTATAATAGTCCCGAATGATTGGCAACGACGAAAAGGAAAAGGAGCGTGTCGATGCACGTAATGCACTTGAAGAGTATGTGTATGATATGCGTGAAAAATTATCAGAAGAAGGTTCGCTGTCGACATACATTGAAGGTAATCACCGACAAAATATCTGCCAACAATTGAACGATTTGGAAAATTGGCTATACGAAGAGGGTGAAGATTGTGAAAATGATATTTATCGATCAAAATTGTCCGATCTTCATAAGCAAACTGATCCGATAAAAGCGCGTAGTTTTGAGTATGAGAATCAAATGAATGCATTCACCGAACTGGGTCATGCCGTACAAATGGCACGAAAATCCATCAATGAATTCCGTACGAATACCGCTAAATATGAGCATATCACTGAAGTGGAAATTTTGAATGTCACCGAAGCAACGGATCGTGCCCAACGTTGGCTGGAAGAGAACACTGGCCGTGTAGCAAATACATCGAAAACTCTTGATCCACCCGTGCGTATCAGCGACATTCGTAATGAATTGAATACGTTGACCGTATGTGTGAATAGTGTATTAAATCGACCAAAACCAAAAGCACCAACACCACCGGCATCAAATAATGGTACATCCGGCAATGGCGAACAAACGGAAGCCGGACAATCGGATGCGAAGAATGCCGAACAGGGCCAAGAAGACAAAATGGATGTAGAATAAAAGCAAAAGAACCGATTCTCGACGGTCATACATGGAATGCATCGCGTATTAATGTGTTGGCCGCGAAAACAATCAATGCTTAGGGATGAGTAGTTTAATGCTATAAACAACAACTGAATATACAAACATAAACACAAATTAAGGGAAAATTGAAGCAAGTAAAAATTGTAATAAAATAAGAGAACGGAAGAAACAAAAACAATAATTTAATTAATTGACTTAATTGCTATATTCTGATAGTTCTTATTTTATTTTATTTTTCTTTAAATAAAATGATGATAACGATACGATGTTGGTGATGCAAAATATAAAAAATAGAAGAAGAATGGATAATAATCAAACGAATGGCCGCAAGTGATCACACAAACAGAATTTTAAATGTTTGTACTAGCAAAAGGAAAATCTCTTAGGATACACACCTTTCTAAAACGATCGTGATTTTGAATCGTATTGCGCATTTTTTCTACACATTTTTTTTGCTACTCAAATGAAAATACAATTATTCGATTCGCATGATCGACCGTCCGATTCGATTCATTACTACGATCGTTTGTGAAATGTATGAAAACTACACAAATATAACGAACACATTATTTATTCACCAGTTCGACAATAGGTTTCTCAAACAAAACACAATTAAACAACAATTCACATGTATTGAAGGCTAGAGCCACACGAATTTGAAAAGATTTTTATGACTCAACATGATATAAATGTTGATTTCACATATTAAGTTCAAATGAATGATTTGGCAACATTTTTGATGTTTTTTGATGGATTTACATGCAAAATCACTTGAAATTTTGTGAATACATTGCACCAAGTCCTAAAATCTTTTAACCAACTTAACAGTGCATACTTTTATCTATAAATTTACTCGAAAATTGAAATTCTCTATTGCTTTACCCATAACGCTAGATAAACAGATAAAACATTCTCGTCATATTAAAACATGAAGGTAATCATTTTTTTCAACATATTCAAATAAAAAGCATTTATCGCTTTCATCACATTTTCCGTTACTATGATGTTGTTTGTTGTCATTTCAATTTTCCGTTCAATGGCTAAAGACACGCAACGCTTGAGTGTTGAACAAAAAAGAGATCTTTTTTCTACATTTTTGTCAAGAATCCGGTGATGTTAAATTGAGAATAAAAAAAAACATAATTAAATATACAAATAAATTAACTAAATTAAAAATGGAAACAAAAAAAACTAAGATTTCAAATATGTTGTTTTTTTCTAGTATTCTTTTTTTTCAGATTCAAATTAGTGATCAAATATCTATTATTTTTCTACTTGGTTCTATTGCAAAGTTACATATTACGAGTATGAAATTACAGAAATATCATAAAATTCTCATTCATTCAATCACTCAAGTGATGTTCAGGATGAATTGGTTGGACGCCTTGAAGAAATTAAGCGTCTTAAAAGTTCACCAGTTGATAAAAGAAGCGATCTCATATGGAAAGATCAGTGATACTTTCCTTCATGTGGCTATACGGAGGCTTCACATTCTTAAGATATTTTCTGGAGAAAGACACTCAATTGAGCCCATACAATCGTTCAGCCACTGGAAATGAAAAAATCAACATCAAAAGAACATATTCCCGGCCAAATTGAAAGCGCGCAATTTAAAAACGGTTTGTAAAACATTTCATAAGGCCGGTTGGGCTGTACAATACAATCAGAAAACTAACGTTGACAATTCACGGAAGCCAAAGATGAAAAAGATCGCATCATAGCAGCTATGGACAAACTTTAGCCATTGATCACTGCTGCAAATATTGGCACACTTCTTCATTCTGCATTTACATTTTATTGAAAAATCAATTGATGTTCCTTTTTTTATTGTTGACTTATCACAGCTTGCGATGAGAGTGACTTCGGAAATACAATTGAGCTGGGAACCGATTTGTTATGCTTTGGTCTGCCGCAACTGCATTCAGATGTTTTGCAGTTGCTTGTAACCGGATACAAAATATAAGCCACAAATCATCGCTATTATCAAAGCTCATCTGAAAAAACGCATTAAATATCGTTCAAATCTATCTATTTTAAATTCAGCACAGAGCTCCCTTGATTCAAAATGATAATCATCAACAAAGTCCAATTAATGGATATTTTATGTTTTTTGAAAGCATGTTTCCCAATACTCATGAATCACAAGATACTTGAACTGAATCAAATGAATAAAGTTTTTTTTTTTAAACTCCAAATGTTGAAAAGTGTTTTTTTTATTTGTATGTCAATAGAAACTTGCCGAAGACATTTGGTGTTTGGATAAGGAATATGGAATAGGCTGAATTGGAGAGTTTACACAAATGTGTCTACGTATATGTATAAGGTATAAATGTATTGTGAATACGTGTGTATTTGTATGGATTTCTATGAGAGAACCCGTTTGTATTTGTTGCTCATGTCCATTAAATGAGCAAAATGTTGTGTAAAGCAATACATAAAGAGAATGGGAGTGTGATAGTGCATGTGTTTGTGTGTATGTATGTATCGACACAAAGGCACATTCGAATGATGTCGATGAATGGCTTTTAGTCACCAACTAAGCGACTGACGTTTGCCCGTTTTCTATAATTTTATGTCTGTCGCAATTTTTTGGGTGAAAGAAAAAGATTATTATATTTTGTTTGAGTAAATTTCCAAACGAACATCCATTAGTGAAAGAATTTTTTTTTTGGTGGATAATTGTGCAAAATAATTGTTTTTTTTAAACAATAAATACAACCAACCAAAAAAAAAAAAAAAAAAAAAGATAAATAACATTGGTAAATACGAAAGACTGTGTTATAATTTCGTTCTTTTTTTCAATGGCAAATGAGTGCTAAATTGTATCTGGTTGAAACATCAATGTGCATAAACTAACATCTCCAGTAAACGCAACAACAATTGCAACAGCATTATTTAAGTGTGAAATTCAATTCTTCGAATCTTTTGCAAATAGTAATGTCATTATTGAAATATGATGGGCCACCACCAAATTAAGTGAACAAAAAAATCAAACAATTTTCAAATAACTCATATCATTATCTTTCGATGTATGCAATTTTTTTTTTTTTGCTTTCTGAGAAGTAACATTTATTTTTTCTCAGTGTATATTTATATGAATGTATACAGCATATACGTATGCATGTACGTATGCATACACGAAGCAGTGCATAAGACTAATTCACCAGTCATCTCTTTTAAAATGGTTGATGTGTATTTCATATATAGATGTGTACATATATTCGACGTATCGTTTCTCTACCTCTCCATTTGCTCATCGCCTTCGTCTGCATTGCGTTTTTATTTTATGAACAATCTTATATAAATGCAAGATTTTGATGTTGATTATAATGTAAGAGTGCGTGTCACTTTTTTTTTTCATACTTCGTTCAATACCGTTCAATACATATTAGTTTTCATAATTATTTCCAATTTTTGTTTCAATCACGCAAACTTATGAATGTATAAGACATCAACACAGGTTAATATGATGTGCACAAACGTGTCAATGTATGAATTAATTTGATTATATTGTTTTTTTTTCTGCATACCACTTTTTCGAATTGGTATTTGAAGCAATACATAGAACACGCCCTCAACATGAAAATATTTGCAAAACAAAATCAAATATTACGTAGAATTTTTTCACTTCTATAAAAATAATATTGGCGCTATCGTTTGAAATTCGGTTCAAATACACGTTTTTTTCCCATAATTTGAATTTTTATTATTTTAAAAATAAGTTCCATAAATAGTTCGAATGAATTTCAAATGTGAAGTGAAAAACTCCGTCTTTTGACCAGGCCACGGATAGGGCAGCCACTGGCCTGTTCATTTTTACGTTTGTTCTAGTGTTTTTCGAATTCTAAATAGCATGTCAACCGTTTAAATTATATCCGCATAAATCGGAAATTATTTTTAAATGCAATGAGACATTTTCAACAAAATTCAACGATTTTATTTTTTACAAATTAATAAATACATGCAATCAAACTCAATCAGCTGAATATTGGCTTATATCAATTGGATTGAAAATGGGGGTGACAACAATGTTGAATTTGCTAACTTTTATACAATTTACTAAACTGTGCTAATCGTTTCCGAATCATTTTATGGCTTGAATTGGAATAGTTGACAATTCAGTGTAATTAGGTGGCCATCGGCTGCACTGAGTCATTTGAAATTTTTTAATGAAATTATCCATTATGTTAAATACGAACCAAATTGCCGACATTTTAAATATGTTTTCTTTTCCATTAACGATATCACATGTTTTAAAAAAAATTATTGTTACGAATTACAACATTTCAATTGATGCGACTTTATTTGTGTTTACGAAAAAAACAGGTTTTCCGGAACAAACTGTCAATCGGTCAATATTGGAATGAACGAATTTATGTATAATTATACCATCATTAGTTTCAATAATTGTTTTCATTGAACGTTTATTGATAAAATCTTAAAAGGGGAAAAATTAATTGGCTACCTGAAAATTAACATTCGATAATTCCAGAGAAAATGTTGTACGACATTCAAAGATTCGTCATAATCCTACCTTGAAAGTTTAAATACTACAGTGCACACATGGGTCATCACATTTCAAAACATAGCCAGCAGGTAACGTCATAGACTTATTTAGAGAAAAAAAAATTGTTCATATATTACTTATTTTTCTATGTCATTCTCATTTTCTCTGTCGTACGTCACATTTGGATGCTACTATATTTAGATGTCTGATGACCAAGAGATGACAAACAAAATACCATAGCATAGATTCTAGTACAGCAAGATAAACTTTAGCAAAAAGATAAGAAGAAGAAGAAGAAAAAGAAAACGAAGAAAAAAGTGATAGAAAATACGAAAAAATGTCTTTTTTAAATAATCTGAAGAAAGTACTCCACCTGGGCGGTGGAGAAACAAAAAAGAAGCGCATATACAATAACATTCGTATGGATTGTGATCCAACAGAATATTGGGAGATGATTGGTGAGCTGGGTGATGGTGCATTTGGTAAAGTGTACAAAGCACAGCACAAAGAAACCGGTAATTTGGCCGCCGCAAAAATGTGTACGCTTGAAGATGAGGAAAACTTAAGCGATCATATGGTTGAAATAGATATTTTATCCGAAATCAAACATCCAAATATTGTCGAACTGTATGAGGCATTCTCAGTGGACGACAAACTATGGGTAAGTTGATAGATTTGCGAGTTTTTATTTTTGTTCAAATTATGAATATTTGAAATGGACTCCATTTTGATGTTGTTTTTTTTTTTTTAATTTACAGATGTTAATTGAATACTGTAATGGTGGTGCCTTAGATAGTATTATGGTTGAGCTGGAGAAACCACTCACCGAACTACAAATAGCATATGTGTGCAAGCACATGACTGAAGGTCTTAGCTTTTTACATAAAAATAAAGTAATTCATAGAGATTTAAAGGCTGGTAATGTACTTTTAACAATGGAAGGTGGTGTCAAATTAGGTAAATTCTTGTTCTCATTATTTTTTGCTATTCCTTTTTCCATTTTTATTGAATTTGTAAGTTATTAATATTTCGATTTAAATTTGCAGCCGATTTTGGTGTTTCGGCAAAGAATAAACATACGTTACAAAAACATGACACATTTATTGGTACGCCGTATTGGATGGCGCCGGAACTTGTGCTGTGCGAAACATTTCGAGATAATCCATACGATTATAAAGTTGATATTTGGTCACTTGGTATAACATTGATTGAATTTGCTCAAATGGAGCCGCCGAACAGTGAAATGTCACCGATGCGCGTTTTATTGAAAATTCAAAAAAGCGAACCACCCAAATTAGATCAACCATCAAAATGGTCAAAAGATTTTAATGAATTTCTGGCAAAATCATTAATCAAAGATCCACAACAACGACCGTCCACTGATGTTCTACTTTCATTGCCATTCATCAGTGGTCCATTAGATTCAAAGCCAATCAAAGACTTACTCTTGGAATACAAAGCCGAAGTGGTTGAAGAAGAAGTGGTCGACGAAGAAGTTGAGGTACGATTCCATAAATTTACAAACATTTACTTCGAATTTCAATATATCGCACATTTACACACATCTTATATTTCACAATTACTAACTGATAAATCATTATCTTGTCAACTTTTCACGCTGCTTTAAAAAAAAAATATCAAATCAAACAATTGCAAACACTTGCACAATACTAACATAAACAATAACAAAAAAAAACATGCAAAATGCAATTTATGTAGAAAGCGAAAAGGCAGGCGAAACGTAGATCTCTATATCAGAGGGTTGGTAAGTTGTCAGACTAGCTGATTTTGAATGACAAATGAAATGATTTTTGTTCAACTAGTCTGGCTTTTGTTCATAACGAAAATATAGGCTAGAACCAATTTTTGTGTTCTTGTAACCCTCGTGCTTGTATCCAATTTTGTCTTACGTTTCGAAATTACTTTTCAACTGCGTGTTAATTAATTTTTATCATTTTTATAGCAACTCTTAATCAAAACATTTTATTTCGTAGACAACACCCTGGTGCACACTTAATAACTGATAAAATAAAGATAAATATAAATTTTAATGCCTTTTTGTTCATTGCATATTTCAGGAAACCCGCAACTCAACACTTCCAATCGACTTGGATGAAGATTCGTCATCACTTCAAAGCCAAGATACGGACAAGCGTAAGTTTATACACTTTGAATGTCTATTGAAATGGAAAATGTGAAATAAGTAAAATGTCGTTTGTCTTAGTTCCAGACACCCCCACAGCAGCAACAAAGACATCACGCGATTTGAAAGAATCTGCTCCAGTGGCCACCGCAAACGATAGTAAATCACCTCAACCACAAGCACAACCAACTGCTGAAGTCAAAACTTTACAACGAGAAAATTCAAATGAATCTGAAAAAGAAGGCGAAAATGATCGCAAAGCACCAATTGTACGTATCATCACATTCCATTAAAAATAAAATCAAAATTCATTTTACCATAGAATATATGCTCTCGTTAAAAGCTAAATGTTGAAGCTAAAATTTAACAATTTTCTTCAAACTCAAAAGGTTGTGAAAAAAGAGAAAGGGCCAGCACCATTGCCTCCATCATTGCCAAATTCAGTTGTTTCGACTGAACCAAAGGAATCTGCTGAAGAGAAGCTTGCTTCCGAAACAAATGCCGCCGAAGAAAGTGACAAAAAGCCAAATCAAAAACAAATTACCGATTCACCGAAGAGCACAACATCAGACGATTCTTCAAGCCAATCAGAGGTAATCATTTGTTGGATTTTTTATTCTGAATGGTGAATTTATTTTCATTTTTGTGAAAACATTGTTTTTTTTTTTTTCATGTAGATCGAACGAACTGACTCAACAAAAGTTATTTCAGTACGAAACTCAGACTCAACAACTTCTAGCACATCAAATAGTAGTGGAATTTCAGTGTCTTCTGCCACAGCAACCGTTTCAAATAAAGAAACATCGGTTAACACATCGACGATAACAATAAACGCTGATCTACCTGATTTGTCCAATAGTTTGGCAAGTAATGTAAGTCAAGTTACAGTTGTTACAACAAGCCATCCACCAGTCATAATAGACAATAGTGTGACGCCAAAGCCGTTAGCACCACAAGCAAAATCATCATCAGGAAATGAAGTGTTTATCGTTTCAAATGAAACAAATAAGTCACATCCGCTAAATGAATCATCAACTGATGACGACTATCCATCATTGGATAGCTTAGAATGTAGTTCATCACGATTTGGCAAACAAAGTGGCCAGAGTACGATAATCATCGGTGACTCAATATCAACACCAGTATCGCCAACACCATATACACCAAATCGACAGCAACAGCATCCTCGGGCCCGAAAATTGGACGAAAGTGAAGTGTTCATTGTGAACAATGAGGATGAATCAACATTATCGGATAGCGAACCAAATAAGTCCAATAAAAATCTTGATACGAGTCACGTATCTGTGGTTACCGTCGGTGAAGAAATTCGAGTAAAAGACTCATCAAATGTTAAAACACCGCTGCGTCAATCGAATAGCAGTATAAATGCATCTGTCACCAGTGACACGTAATATTTATTTTCATTTTGTTTATAATTTTTTTTTGCACCATGCATTTGAAGGCAAAATTATTAATAATATGTTTACTACACAGGAACGGCGTGTATACTCCGGATTCATTTGATAGTGGTGAAAAGCATAGTTCTGTTCAGAAAAATCGCCAAAAACCAAATGGACAAATCGGTCAACGCGATGATGATGTTAGCATTATCATAAATAAAAAGAAAACAAAACCAAAAATATCTCCAGACAGTTCAGTCGGTTCGATGGATTCGCGAGCACAAAGCGAATGTGGTTCAATACGATCAAGCGACAAGGAAATTTTCCCTGGATCATTGCATCAGAATCAAAATATTGTAAGTTTTGTTTGCATGCCGGCTTCTTTGAAATTTTTCATTGTTTTCGTTTTTTTTTATTCTTTTCAACAGCATCGTAGTGATGCCGAGAGTACAAATAGTCACGAAAGTTGTAATCAAGAAGCACACGATGATTCGGTAATCATTCGACGAACAAAACCGGAACGTTCAAAAGAAGAGATTGAAATGCGAAATTTGAAGAAGAAGACAAGAAAGCGAACACGTAAATTTGAAATTGATGGTGTACAAGTGACAACGACAACTAGCAAAGTGATCTATGGCGACGATGAAAATGGTAAAATGTATGATGATCATATTTTCCGTAAGCAAGAATTGCGTGAATTAAAAATGTTACAAAAACAAGAGAAAAAACAATTTTTGGACTTGCAAATCAAGGAACAAGCAAGCAAAGAGCAACAAGAACGTCGTTTTGATCAAGAGCGTATTGCGCTCGAACGAACATATGAAGCCGATATGGACGCGTTGGCACGACAGCACCGCCAACTTGTTGAAAAAACCGAACAACAACAAGAGGCTGACCTGAGGGCAACATCGAAAAAGATTCGTGCCGAACAAGAGCGAGATCTAAAACAGGTACGTTTCAGAAATAAATGTATCTGGTTTCAATTTTGGTTTATCATTTTTATTATTTGTAATGTAGTTCCGGGATAGTTTGAAGCAAGAGATTCGCCTTCTAAAGCAAGAGATTGACCTGCAACCAAAGGATCGCCGAAAAGATGAATTCCGAAAGCGAAGAGGTTTGATGGATATTCAACACGAGGATAAGGAACGCGCATTCCTTCAGTCACTTTCCGAAAGTCATGAACTTGCCTTACGCAGACTTAGCGAAAAGCATCGTGATCGCTTGGCCACCATTGACAAAAACTTCCTACAACAAAAACAAACGGTAATTTTAAGTGATTTTCTGTGTTATAAGTACGACCGACATTTTTTTTTTATTTCGATTCAAATCAAAATCGTTTTTGTTTTTCTTTATTGATGAAGGCAATGCGAACGAGAGAAGCAATGTTATGGGAACTCGAAGAAAAACAAATCCATGAAAAGCATCAATTATCCAAACGTCATGTAAAGGATATGTGCTTTATGCAACGCCATCAAATGATCGTTCGACATGAAAAAGAACTGGATCAGGTGAAACGGTAAGATAAATCGTAATCGATATTATCACTCAACACGGAAATTATTTTGAAATTGCCATTTTTACCGTTGTTTTTTTTTAATTCTTTTCTTTACAGCATGCTGCAGCGAAAAGAAGAAGAGCTGCTTAAACGACAGACTGTTGAACGACGTGCACTTCCGAAGAGAATTCGAGCTGAAAGAAAAGCACGTGACATGATGTTCAGAGAGTCACTTCGTATATCCACCAATTTAGATCCAGATGGTGAACGTGAAAAACTGAAGAAGGTAATTAATTGAAATTGCAACAATAACAACAATGATGGAATTTAATCACTTATTTTGTATATGATACAGTTCCAAGAACAAGAAAAGAAACGATATACACAAGAACAACAACGGTTTGATATTAAGCACGTGAAACAATTAGAAGAATTACGTGCAACAGCCGAAGGAACAATACGGTAAATATACGCGTAGACATAAAAGATGAACAATAAAACAAAAATAAATGTGCGATCTGATGTGAACAAAACTAATAAATCATCATTTAAATTTGAATAGTGAACTTGAACAATTGCAAAATGAAAAGCGTAAAGCATTGCTCGAACACGAAACAGCCAAACTACGGGAATGTGATGAAGCGTTGCAGCGAGAGTTGCGTGAATGGAAGAGTCAATTACATCCAAGAAAACAGGTATTTTTTTTTACTAAAATGTTTCCTTTTTATAAGATTTAATTCGATTAGAAGTCATTTGTTGCAACAACGCTGCAACTCTGTGTAGGAAGATTATTAGAACTTAGTAGATTAGTCCGCTTGGAAGGAAATTTTACTATTATATTTTCAAAGAAAAAATGTCCGGGAAATTTACTTTCAATTGAAAATACCCTGTAAATATTATTTTGATAGATATTTTTTTCTTACTGTACAGATTCTATTTTTATTTTATTTTCAAGCACCTTCAATAAATTTTGGAGGATTTTTTTTTTCGTTTTTGACTACGAATTCAAATCAACGTTCCAGTGTTATAACCAAAATTATTTTGAATTATTTAGTTTGACGTTTTTTTTTTTAAATCTAACCCTCGTTTTAAAGTAGAAATAATGCATGAAATGCAAATCAGCTTAATCAATTAGCAAGTTGTTGTCCGTTTTTCGCTTTTTCCACCAACTTACATGAATATAGCTGACTAACTTATTCTCTCTCATTTTGCCGTGCTATTGGTGGGCAAAACGACCGCAGAACACATACAAAAAACCAATTTGAAAACTATAAATAACAAAAGAAATAATTTATCTTCTTTTATTTGTATACTTGTTTACTTAAATATTTTCAGAAGTTAAATAGCTTGCTAAATGAAATGATCGACGCTTATGAACAAAAACATGGTCCAGTTGAAGATCGTTCAATTTTTGATGGTGAAATAATCGTACCACCACATTTACGTAATTTATCGCTGTCAAGCCTTCGGGCAAATCGTTTGCATGGCAGCATTTTTGGAAGCTTATCGCGTTCACGAACATTTTTAAATATTTCTAAAAATTCACGGAACACATTCCATGGTTCGGTGCCAGATTTAAGTCGTAATCCAATTAAATTCAGTAGCAATAACAGCAATAGTAACGTGGATGATGATGATGATAATGATAGTGGACGACACACATCGTCGACATCTGCAATCACTAAAATTACTATGAACTCATCAACGACACTAACATTTGCCGATTGCGCTTCGAGCACACTTTTATCAAATGGCAATCTCAGTCTATATTCAAACGATCGAAATACACAGTCGACCGATTCAATTGATGAGCATAATGTCAACACAAAATCGGATGATGGATACAAATCAAATAGTATACGTTCATTGAATGATATTCAACTGCGTGAATCAACCGAGGATCGATCAATATTTTGTCATTCATTGGGACGTCCGGTGCGAATTTTAAAGCCCAATATTTATACAACAAAACCGAGTGACTTTAAAAATACACGTACACAATCAATGGAAGCATACAATGCCGAAGGCTATATGACGCTCATTAAAACAAATCCACAAAAAGTGCACGCATCGCATAATGCATATCGTTCATCGTCCAATCGTGCAATGTCACCATTATGCACTATGACACCCATAAATGATATCAATTTAGTTGAATCATCATTGGAAATGTCGAAATCCATAAGCACATTTCAGCGCAGACCACCGCCTCAATCGGGCAATCAATTTGGTCAAAGCACCGGTGGTTTTGGCGGTGGCCAATTGAGCTTAGAAAATATGACCAAATTCAAATTACCACGTGTCACACTAAATCATTCCACCGTTATAAATCCACAAAAATGATTCATTTGATTATTGTCATTCACTTTCTTGTTAAAAAAATTTCTTTTCTGTTTCTTCTATACTTCTGTTTAAAATTTGAATCAAAATATGATGAAACATAAATGCGTGCTGAGCCCGATCTTCCATTTATCGCCATTGTATAATTACTTCTTTTTTGTAAATCACTTTCATTACGCTTATTATTATTATTATTATTTAACAAACAGATGAAAAAAAAACACGATTCATTAATGCACAAATTCATTTAAATGTTCATTAAATCAATGATTTTCGTTCTATTTTTGTTGTTTTTTTGTTGAAAAATCCAAGTCATATTTTTTGCCGTTGATGTTATTATATTACCATTCTTTTTTTTTTTAATTATAAAATAATTTGTTTAAGTGTTATTTATTTGGTCGTAATCATTTTTGTTTTTGGTCTTTGGCCGTTTCAATGCAATATCATCAACAATAAGTCAGAGAATCACAACGGAAATAAATGATTATTAGTGTTGATATATTTATGTCACAATTAATCGAGCTTTCGTTGTATTTTTCGGTTTCGTTATGTTTTTTTTCTCTTCACATAAGCTATATTTATATGTACCTAAATAAAGTGTATCACTCATTGATTCATTTGATTGTGTGCACACATTTCCTCCTATCCCTTCATTGGCTTCGCTATTTCCATTACAAATCCATTTAATCACACCACAAGTGACATACAAAAATGCTTCCAATTAATATTTTGATATTAAAATAAAATGGATTACTTCGAATCCCTGCGCATAAATAATTTTGTTAAGGATAAACACATGATTATCAACTCAACCAAAAATAACCAACGAACAAATGAACAGCGGCTCTAACCAAGCCAACTATCGAATAAGCAAAACCTACGCCAAATTTAAAGCCAAACGATCAGTGAACTTAAGTAAATATGATAAGCAAAAGTTAAATAGAAAATCAAACGAAAAAAAAACACACACACGGTTCGATCAAGATCACAGACAAACACAATTCGAATAAAAGCAGGTTTGTGAATGTAATCACATACATTTGATTGAGTATCATGCCATTTGTTTTGTGTTATATTTGTGTTGTCATTGTTTTGTCATTTTGTTTATCATCAACCAAGAGCAGCTAGAAGAGAATACTTAATCATTTTGATGGAAAGCAGATTAAGATATGGAATCGTGATGCTGCCCATTTGATGGCCATTATTTTGATTGAAATCAATACAATTAAGCACAAAAATTCATATATGTATCTCCTTTCAAGAAAATCATTACGATCTTCAGCCGCTCTTAATCTATGATCATTTCAAAATTATTATTATTTATTGGGAGCTTATGTTTTACTTCGTTCGAACGTTTCAATCATCGATTGTTCGTTTGTCTTATGTGTTGTTTTGCATTATAGATATGTATGTTTTAGGGAACATTTTTGGTGAACGGATATTTTTTTATTTTTCAAATGCACACATCATGATATTTATCATGATTTCATTTGTTCAATGATCGAAACATTTGAAATTGTATTTGTACATTTCTTTTAAAATCGTTTGTGCACAATTCATTTGTTTCTTGCATAGATGGTGTCGGATTAAAAATGGTCTTTAGATTTTAGTTTATATTTTAATTTGAATTCGTCTTTAAATCAATTTATTTTTTTCTATACATGTAAATGAATCATCAATTTGTGCCAATTGCATAGCAAACAAATTAAAATTGGATATTAATTCGATTTCTTTTCTCTCGATAAATAGCGCCTAGAAGAGACTTTTAATCAGCAAATTGAAGAAATGGATGCATTGTATCGTGCGGGTATGATTTGCGGTGGTGGAGCTGAATCATCACGCGAATTGGCTGGATCAACGCGAAGCAGTTTATCATCAGACTCGGAAGGTTGATGATTCTCGAAGACTAATAGCAAATCATTTGCAACCAATTCATTACCGAACAACGACACAAATAGTTAATAAATTAGAACAATGCAAATAATAAATTTAAAACGAAAGAATATTACAAAAAAACACAGTCGTATCGCAATTTGTATTATGCCTTCTTGTTCTAATGGAAATAGATGCAACGAAAGAATGCATAGTCTAATTAATATAGCTCAAGCTCAAAAAACAAATTGTTGAACATTTTATTTTAGAATAAAGAAAAACAAATAAAGCGCATTCAAATCAAGAGAGAAAAGAAAAAAGAAATCAAAAAGTATATGTCCATACGCGGACAGATGAAAGCAGTAGTAAGAAAATGTCTTTCCGATTTACAAAAATCTATATATATATACATTTAATTTTATATATTTTATATGCATTATGTTTTTTGTGCTTAAAAATGATAAAATAAAATAGAAAATTGATCTATCGTATCTGTTTGTGAGACCTTTCAACATATCGATTCTGAATGAGACTAAATTTTAGATAAAGAAAAATAAAACAACCAACACACTCCGTTTTAGTAAAGCGGTATTCAATTTTTTTTTATCGAAGCTTGAGATAGTTCTACTGTAAGAAATGAAATAAATTTTGGCATTCGACATGATATTCGGCATTTTAATGTTTGAAAATAAAAGCCTAATACACAATGACGATGAACATAATTTTTAGTTAGATTCCAAGACAACGAATACAGCTACGTCCATGCGAAATAATTTAAGGATGAATACAAATTCTTAAAACGAGCAAACATGAGCCGAGACATTCATCTTGAATTCGAATCTAGAATAAGAGCTGAATGAAATTGAACAAAATCTATAGATAATAAATGGTCTTATGATATATATTGATATATTGAAAAAATTGAATCGATTGCTTATAGTGAGCAATTTTGAAGTGAAATTGTTGTTGAAATTATTATTATTAATATTATTATCTACAGTTTATGCATCATTTATAACAGAAAATGATTTTCTTCTTTATTTAATAAAATAGGATGTAAAAAATAAAACGAATAAAACAAAATGCTGATCAAAATAAGTCTACAAATGAATGAAATGAGAAAACTTTATTCGGCTTGTGCATAAATGGTAATTTATTATTTGGTGAAGCTTTTGTATGATGTGGACTTTTTGCTTCATTAGCTACATAAAAAAATGTGAATTTGATTGATTTCATCCATAGGACTTCGATATAAATGT